GTGTGTGTGTGTGTGTGTGTGTTCAAACAGAGTTTCGGAACCTGGAGCTCAGCACTCATCTCCCTCAGTTTACCAGCAGTTCCTGGGACCCTTCTACCTTCGCCTCCCTGGGGATGGGATCACGGGTGCATGCTTCCACTCTTTTCACTCTGGGTGCTGTAACTGCTTGCACAGTGTGCTGGCAAGTTTTACATCAACTTGAAACAAGCTGGACTTGTGTAAGAGGGCACTTCAATTGACAAAATGTCCCCAGCAGATTGGCCTGTGGGCAAGCTTCTAAGGTATTTTCTTGATTGATGACTGATTTGGAAGGGCCCAGCTCACTGTGGGTGGTGCCATCCCTGGGCTGGTGGCCCTGCGTGCTTTAAGGAAGCAGGCTGAGCAAGCCATGAGAAGCAAGCCAGGAAGCAGCATGTCCTCTTTCTGTTTCAGTTCCTGCCTCCAGGTTCCTGTCTCGACTCCCTGGATGATAGACCGTGACGTGGAAATGTAAGATGAAGTAAACTTTCCTCCCCATTGCTTTCGGTCATGGTGTTTTACTGAAGTGATAGAAACCTACCTGGGATACATAGCCAGCACCTCACCAACTCAGCCATCTCTCCAGTTACTAGGACAGGCAGCTTCATTAAAACCATTTAGGTGTACGGCTTTTGATTTAAAAGGATGCTGATGATGTACTGCCAAGGGGATAGTATCAGACCCCACAAGTGTTTTTTTTTTTTTTTTTTTTTTTTTTAAATAATAGTTGGCATATGCCTACAATCTTAGCACGAAGATTACCATGTGGCAGAGGTCACCCTAACCTAAATATCAAGTTCAAAGCCAACTTGGTCTACATAGAGACACCGTCTAAAAAAGGGCAGGGGATAAAATCAATAACACTGAGAGGTTTAATATCAAGCCCTTTCGGTGACACATCACAAATGTACAAGCATGTCCACATACTAATCTATACCTATGCATAAACATACGACACACAGAAACCACCCCTATCAGGATGGACTGAGTCATTTGGAATCTCCGGCAAACTGAAGAGGTGGTCATCTCTGCAGGCAGGGGGAGTGGGGGGAGATGGGTACCCACCAGCAGAGAGCAGAAGACAAGTCTTCCACAGAAATCAAGAGAGCAGGCTGACTCTGGGAAGACTTTCAGATGGTGTTCCCTAAAACCATATCTGGCAGTCAAATATCGAAGAGAGTTCACACTCAGAATCACTAAGCCACATCAGCCACACTGTAAAACCAGAGTGAAGAGAGTTCACACTCAGAACCACTAAGCCACATCACCCACACTGCAAAACCACTGAGTGAAGAGAGTTCACACTCAGAACCACTAAGCCACATCTGCCACACTGCAAAACCAGAGTGAAGAGAGTTCACACTCAGAACCACTAAGCCACATCAGCCACACTGCAAAACCACTGAGTGAAGAGAGTTCAGACTCAGAACATTAAGCCATACTGTACTGATTATATTTCTCCATTCAAACCTGGCCCTATCATTTCCTGCTTGCTTCTTGTTTTCTGTCATAATGGTCAACAGTAGACTGCTATGTCCAATTGCTATCCAAACAAAGCCAAAGATTTGCTGCTGACCATGGACCCAAAGAATTCTACTCAACTGTTGACTTATAAAACCTAATGCTTCTCAACAGTACTTTGATTTTTACTAGTAAAATTGGTCATGGTGTTTTCTTGTTTGTTTTTTCAAGACAGGGTTTCTCCATATAGCCTTGGGTATCCTGGAACTTGCTCTATAGACCAGGATGGCCTCGAACTCACAAAGATCCGCCTGCCTCTGCCTCCTGAGTGCTGGGATTAAAGGCGTGTGCCACCGTGCCCAGCTGGTCATGGTGGTTTTTTTTTTTTTTTAATTATTTTTATTTTATGTGCATTGGTGTTTTGCCTGCCTATGTATCTGTGTGAGGGTGTCAGGTCCCCTGGAACTGGAATTACAGACAGTTATGAGCTGCCATGTGGGGGTGCTGGGAATTGAACCCGGGTCCTCTGGAAGAACAGTCGGTGCTCTTAACGGCTGAGCCATCTCTCCAGCCCCTGGTCATGGTGTTTTATTGAAGTGATAGAAATCTACCTAGAACACATAGGCAATACTTGAACTGAGCCATCTCTCCAGTTACTAAAACAGGCAACTTTACAACAATTTAGGTCTATAGATTTTAACTTAAAAAGGTGTTGATGTACTGCCGAATGGATTGTATTGGACCCCATGACCATTTTTTTTTTTTTAAAGTAAAGATTGGGCACAGTGGCGCAGGCCTACAATCTTAGCGTGAAGATATAAAAAGTCGAACCATGACACTCATACAGCGCAGCAGAGAGGAGGGGTACTGCTACTGAACCTGAACCATGGGCAGAGAGGAGCCAGGCCAGGCCACAACCTGAAACACTGTCCAAAGGGCGGCCATTTTCGCGGCGCTCAGCTGCTGCAGAGGATGTGTGACGGCATGTGCCGTGTGCAAGCTGAGTCCCACTGGATCTGAGCAAGAACAAACACAGCCTAGAACAAGGGCCCTGCAGTTGGAGGTGTAGCATCTGAGGCCCGTAACGTGGGCGAGCTGGCAGGAGTCCCAAGAACCCCGTCCAGGAGGAGGAGCGCATGGACGGCGGAGAGCACGCCGCGCCACCTTAGGCTGCCCTGACCCAGGCTGCACCAGGCCTGTGCAGGGGAGGGACGGCGGGCGGTAGTCAGACCTCGCGATGTATTAATGGCTACTGACTTTGACGAAGCAATGCTGCTCACAAATGTAGATCCTCGTTTTAGTGTAGTTGTGTATTCTCAAGTATTTTCCCTGACTTAACCATGTCTAGAACTAAGAAATCAGACAGGTAGAATCGTAGGTGCTTTTGTGGACTAAGTGAACCCCAGGTGGCTAAACGTTCTGACGGGCAAGGGCTTCGTTTGAAAAACAGGTCCTCGATGGGCTGTAGGCCGTCTGGAAAATAGCCCTAAGGAACAGTGTCAGGAAGCCGATTAAGATGATCTCACTGGGAGAACCTAAACTGGTTTAAACTGGATGAAACATTCAATGATGAAACTCAAAAATAATGCTGTGTTTAAACCCTTGGATGGAACGATAGAAAATACCCCTAAAAACTGAAAACCCCAATACACAAAAACATAACTAACCCCTCATGTTCCAATTAGGGAAACAAGCTGTAACAAACACTCCTTTTTAGACTACACTGTAGGGCTTAGCACGCGTAAGTTCCTGGGTTTCATCCCCAGCACTGAAACAAACAATTCTCTGGACTACACCTTGGCCTGTTATCATGTGGATTCTGCAGAGAGATTCAGGTGCAGTATAGACAAACAGTTCTCTGGACTACACCTTGGCCTGTTATCGTGTGGATTCTGCAGAGAGATCCAGGTGCAGTATAGACAAACAGTTC